TGGCAACTTTGACAGGGCCCATATAGGTGCAATTTGGGACACACCCCCAGTACAGGCCAGGCAGACCTTGCAGGCAGGCAGGTGAGGTGACCAGAGCAGAACAGATTCCCTTAGCTAGGGCTAATAGATTTGCACAGGGAGTGACAATCATTGATTTACACCTCAGCTCTTAATGCACCAGACACACGCACGCACGCACGCACACACACACACACACACACACACACACACACACACACGCACCCACACACACACACGCACACACACACGCACACACACACACACACGCACACACACACACACACGCACCTACTCCCCAGTCACATAAGCTTAATCAGATTGTTTACAAACACACGACAGTGGCCTGAGAGGATTTGGGGTAAAAGTCTATCCTGTCTGAGAGACTGACCATGTGTGTCAGTGAGAAGGAAGAGAGAGAGGTCATGCTCAACATGAGCTCCTGATTTATTTCCGTATTTTTTGTTTTTAGAATGAGATAAACACTCGAATCTAAAAAGAATTCAAGACAAAAAGTGATGAACAACAACTTTATTAAATCAGAATAGAAAAAAAAAGTAACTTTGCGCCTCAAATTAAGAAGTTTTGACTCTTGCTAGCAAGCTACACAACAAAAACCTAGCCAGCAGGCTAACAAGCCAGCCAGAAAATTGAGCTAGAACAAACCTAGCAAGGGGAGTTAATACAACTACACCAAACTGAGTGAGTAAATCAAAAAGAAGCACGGACTCTAACTTTAAACATATCTTCTGTTTTTGTGCGTGAAGATTTTTCACTCTTTTTGCTGGTTTTTTAGCTAAACAGGAGCTAGCTAGCAACAGCAGCAGACAAACAAAACTGGTTGCCATGGCAACAGTGCAGCAGAACAGAGCAGCAGCAGCAGTAGTAGCAGAGCCCACAGGCACCATGTCCCCACTCCCCCTCAGCGTCCATTCTCTACCCCCCAGAGGCCATAAATTACACAACGAGGAAAGCTTTTAAACAGAAACTACTAAAGGGGAGGCCAGAAACCCTTTTCACAGACCTTTAAAAAAACGGGGATTTTTACATGTACATTTACATCATTTAGCAGACGCTCTTATCCAGAGCGACTTACAACTTGGTGCATTCAACTTATGATAGTCAGTGGGACAACCACTTTTTTTTTTTTTATGGGGGCTTGGGGGAGGGGGAGGGGGTAGAAGGATTACTATATACTATTCCAGGTATTCCTTAAAGAGGTAGGGTTTCAAGTGACTCCGGAAGGTGGTCAGTGACTCCGCTGTCCTGGCGTCGTGGGGGAGCTTGTTCCACCATTGGGGTGCCAAAGCAGCGAATAGCTTTGACTGGGCTGAGCGGGAACTGTGCTTCCGTAGATGTAGGGGAGCTAGCAGGCCAGAGGTGGGTGAACGTAGTGGCCTCATTTGGCAGTAGGGTCTGATCAGAGCCTGAAGGTAAGGAGGTGCCGTTCCCCTCACAGCTCCGTAGGCAAGCACTATGGTCTTGTAGTAGATGCAAGCCTCAACTGGAAGCTTTCTCACTGACCAGCCAAATGCATGGCGCTCAGCAGTCTGCTCTCACTACCCATCCATAAAGAAAGAGGGAATCTGTAATGGGTGGAAGCTGAAAGTCAAAAGAGACAGACGAACCTGCTCAGGGTGAGTGTGAGCAAACAGCAACCAGACATCCACACCTTAGGGGAGCTCCTAACCAAGGTGCGGACAGAGCAGGACAGCAGCCTTGCAACACAGCTGAAAGAAGTTCAGCAAGAGAGAGAGACGGACTCAAGAGCGAGCTGGCTGATCTAACAAAGGAGGTGAGAGAGCTCCAAAAAGACAGGCAGAGCAGTAATAACGAGCTGACCACACTAAGAGAGGAGCTGCAGGAGAGAAAGAGAACAGAGGACAGGCTGCAGGAGCTGCTAGATCACCACTCTATGACCTGCCCTCACACAGCAGAGGAGCCCACCTCAACCAGCCAGGCCTCCCCAGCCCTGCCGGCTGCATGCCTCCCCCCAGCCCCCAGAACAGTCTCCCACTGACAGCGGCACTGGCACAGACCAGCCACACCCTAGCTCCAACACCCACCAACCCCAACTCTACCCCCTCCAGTCCAGAAGAAACACTGGCTGAGATTGTCCTGTTGATGGACTCATATGGGAAGTTTGTTCAGGAGAATAAACTTTTTCCTAGACACAAAACGAGAAAGGTGTGGTGCCCAACAACGCAGAGTGCCATGGCGCTGCTTGATAAGGCCCAACTCGGGTCGCCAAGCCACATAATCATACACACCGGAAGCAACGACCTGCGTGCTCAGCAGGAGAGGGTGGCGACTTCACTACGGGGAGTGATTGAGAAGGCCTCCGCAATATTCCCCAACTCAAGGATCGTGGTGTCAACCCTTCTACAGAGGAAGGACTTCCACCCTGCCACAATCCAAATAATAAACGCCAGCCTCTCCCGGGACTGTGCCCTGCGACCCAATGTACACCTGGCCCACCATCCCACCCTCGATCTGGACTGTCTCTATGACCATGTTCACCTGTACAGGGAGACAGTCCCCATCCTTGCTAAGAATCTCAAAGACGTCGCTTTAAACCGCATCCTGACCTCTCCACCCAGGAACAGCAGAGCAATCTCCACCCCCCCGAGATCACCGAGACAACACCCCGGACCAACACCCTGGACCCCACAGCCACGACCACAGCACCACCAACCTCAATGCCCACCACAGCCAGCGCAGCACAGACCACCCCAGCCCAGCTTCAGACCCACCCAGACGAGGCCTAACACCCCCCTCCCCCCCACCGTAGACCCACACCTGGAGGAGCCACAGCCCGGCAGGCAGAGCTATGCACAAGCTGTGAGAGGAGCAACTGGCCCAGCTCCCACCAACGAAATGAGTGACATCAAACAAATGCTGAATCTACTATGCTGTGTGATAGGCCGAGGGTCATGGTAAGATGAGCACAAGAACTCCACCATCCTCACACTACATCCAGCCAAGTGGCATGACACAAATACTATCTTAAATGATAAACAAATCACATTTGCATAATAAGAGTTTACGTTAATTGAAAAATCTTATTTTAATAGTTATTGTTGGATTGTGAGTGTTTATTTCATTTTGAAGGTAAAGAAAAAACAGTTATGAAATCTTTTTACGTTGCATGTTGGAATTTACAAGGATTGAAGTCCTCTGCTTTTGGGCTAAAGAGCAGAAACCCAGACTTCCTTAAAGAAACTGATGATGTTGATATTGTAGTACTACAGGAAACAGCAGAGGTGATGTTTCCACTGGCTGTCCACTAGGTTATAGGGAGATAATCGTACCATCCACCAAATTAAAAGGAATCACACAGGGCAGAGACAGGGGGAATGCTAATATGGTATAAATCTGAACTAACTAATTCCATCGAATTGATCAAAACAGGAGAATTATTTATCTGGCTTAAAATCAATAAGGAGGCTATCTTAACAGATAAAAACGTCTTCCTCTGTGCTACATACATTCCCCCCTCAGATTCACCCTACTTCAATGAAGAGAGTTTCTCCATTCTAGAGGGGGAGATTAGTCACTTTCAGGCCCAAGGCAATGTTATGGTCTGTGGAGACCTGAATGCTAGAACAGCAGAAGAACTAGACACTATTAACAGTCATGGGGACAAACACCTACCGGGAAGCAACAACCTTTCCCTCCCCACATACCCCCCCAGAAACAACTATGACAAAGTGAAAAACGAAAATGGAGTACAGCCCCTGAAGCTCTGTCGAACACTGGGTCTTTACATAGTTAATGGTAGGCTAAGAGGGGACTCTTTTGGTAGGTACACCTACAGCTCATCCCTTGGCAGCAGTACTGTAGACTACTTCATCACCGACCTCAACCCAGAGTCTCTCAGAGCCTTCACAGTCAGCCCACTAACACCTCTCTCAGACCACAGTAAAATCACAGTGTATCTGAGAACAGCAGAACCCAACCATGAAGCATCACGGCCCAATAAATTACATGGTACTAAACAGGCCTATAGATGGAGTGCAAACAGTACAGAAATCTACCAAAAAGCAATTAGTAGCCAAAAAATACAATCTCTCCTGGACAACATTTTAGCCTTAACATTCTCCTACAGCAATGAAGGTGTAAATTTGGCCGTTTGAAACATAAACTTTATATTTGACAAATTAGCCTCCTTGGCTAATCTAAAGAAACATAAGAGCAAACCAAAAATAATAGATAATGAAAAATGGTTTGATAATGATTGCAAAACTCTAAGAAAGTAATTGAGAAATATATGTAATCAAAAGTCCCAGACAACAAAAATATACGCCTTCAACATGGGGAAACACTGAAGCAATACAAACACACCCTAAGAACAAAAAAAGAACAGCACATTAGAAATCAGCTGGATGTAATTGAGGAATCCATAGAATCAAACCACTTCTGGGAGAATTTGAATAAATTAAACAAACCTCATAATGAGGAATTGGCTATCCAAAATGGGGATATGTGGAGAAATCACTTTGCAAACCTCTACAGCAATATAACAAAAAGCCCAGAACAACAAGATATACAAGAACAATTACAAATCCTTGAATCTGCAGTCAAAGACTATCAGAATCATGTGGATACCCCAATTACAGAACAAGAATTATTGGACTATTAACTTTGCACTCTCCAACCCAAAAAGGCCTGTGGTGCTGATGGTATTTTAAATGAAATGATCAAATATACAGACCACAAATTCAAATTGGCTATACTCAAACTCTTCAACATTATCCTAACTGCAGCTATTTTCCCCGATATTTGGAACCACACCAATTTATAAAAATGGAGACAAATTTGACCCAAATAATTACAGAGGAATTTGCGTTAACAGTAACTTGGGGAAAATTCTCTGCAGTATCATAAACAGCAGACTACATCACTTCCTTGATGAACACAACGTCCTAAGCAGAAGCCAGATTGCATTTGTAAAAAAATAGACCACATTTACACCCTCCACACTCTAATTGACAAACAAGTAAACCAAAACAAAGGCAAAATCTACTCGTGTTTTGTAGACTTCAAGAAAGCATTTGATTCAATTTGGCACGAAGGTCTTTTTTACAAACTAATAGAAAGTGGTATTGGAGGGAAAACATATGATGTTATTAAATCAATGTACACTAAAAACAAATGTGCGGTTAAAATCGGCAACAAGCAAACATACTTCTTCTCTCAGGGACGTGGAGTGAAACAGGGCTGCCCAATAAGTCCAACACTATTTAACATCTACATTAATGAATTGGCAAAAACAGTAGAAGAATCAGCAGCACCTGGTCTCACCCTACACAACACTGAAATCAAGTGTCTGCTGTACGCAGATGACCTGGTGCTACTGTCTCCCACTAAGGAGGGGTTACAGCAGCATCTAGAAAATCTGCACAGGTTCTGACAGACCTGCGCCCTGACCGTTAATCTAAAAAGAAAACAAATATAATGATATTCCAAAAAAGATCCGGAAATCAGGATGACAAATATAAATTCTATTTGAACACAGTTCTATTAGAACACACCAAAAATTACACGTATCTAGGACTAAATATCAGCAACACGGGTAGCTTTCAGATGGCTGTGAATGAGCTGAGAGACAAAGTAAGAAGAGCATTCTATGCCATTAAAAGGAATATTAAAATCGAAATTCCAATTAGAATCTGGCTAAACATTTTCCAATCAGTTATATAACCAATTGCTCTATATGGCAGCGAAGTTTGGGGTCCGCTCTCTAATACTGAATTTACCAAATGGGGCAAACATCCAATTGAAATACTGCAGAGTTTTGCAAGACTGTATTGCAAGTGCAAAGAAAAACTCAAAATAACGCATGTAGAGCAGAATTGGGCCAATACCCTCCTTATTCGAATAGAAAAAAGAGCCATCAAATTTTACAACCATCTAAAAACAAGTGACCCCAAAACATTCCATCACACAGCTCTACTATGTCAAGAGATGAAACAAGAGAAGAGTCCCCTCAGCCAGCTGGTTCTGAGGCTCAGTTCACTAACCAAAACCAACCTCATAGAGCCTCAGGACAGCACTCAGAAAATCTGGCCCAACCAAATCATCACAAAGCAAAAATATAAATATATCACCTATTGGAAAGATACTACAAAAAATCAAAGTAAACTTCAATGCTGTTTGGCTCTAAACAGACAGTACATGGTGGCAGACTATCTGACTACCATGACTGATAGAAAACTGAGGAAAACAATGACTAGGTACAGACTCAGTGAGCACAGTCTGGCTATAGAGACCGGTCGTCACAGGCAAACCTGGCTGCCCAGAGAGGACAGGCTGTGCTCACTCTGCCCCCGGGGAGAGGTAGAGACAGAGCTGCATTTCCTATTACACTGTGACAAATATTCAGACCTAAGATAATCTTTCTTTCCCAAAATTATCATTCAGTCCAAAGAATTTGAAACTATAAAAAAATCAAATATTTATTGGGTGAAAAGCCAAAATGTGCAATTTTGGCAGCCAACTATGTGTCCTCCTGCCACAACCTGAGGGACAGCCAGTGAAAAGTGTTATGTAATGTCAATAATATTTCCTATTTTGTTTTGGCTTTCATACCATGTCATGTGTCTTCTCAGTCATGTTGAGACTGGTCGACTACTATTGCTTTAATGTATTGTTATTCTCATTAATATTGTTGTAGTTGCTGTTAATGGTAATCCCATTTCCACTACTACTATTATTGCTGTTGGTCCCACCATTTTGGTTATATGTATACTTTGACAATGTAAGTAATTTAACTTGCCATGTCAATAAAGTCTATTGAATTGAATTGAGAGAGAGAGACAGAGAGGGACAGAGCGAGGGACAGAGATAGAGACAGAGAGAGAGACAGAGAGAGAGACGGAGAGAGGGACAGAGAGAGGGGCTGAGCGGGAGTGCATCTGCAACAAACAGCCAGCCAGCCTGTGAGTTTAAGCTCTGGGTAGATACTAGAGGGTCAGCATAGAACACTGAATGGCTGCTGGCACCTAGTATGGGAGCTCTTCATGCCCTTGACCCATTCATTCCCGAGTGGCGCAGTGGTCTAAGGCACTGCATCTCAGTGCTTGAGGCGTCACTACAGACTCCCTGGTTCGATTCCAGGCTGTATCACAACCGGCCGTGATTGGGAGTCCCATAGGGCGGCGCACAATTGGCCCAGCGTCGTCCGGGTTTGGCCGGTGTAGGCCATCATTGTAAATAAGAATTTGTTCTTAACTGACTTGCCTAGTTAAATAAAGGTAAAATAAATAAAAAATATATAAAAAAAATTCAAGTATATGATTACCTAGATACAGTATGAAAGTCCCACTAAATCATGGATCATGTCCCACGCTGTTTTTGAATGGCTTTCAAGATTATCCAGTGCATTCGGAAAGTATTCAGACCCCTTGACTTTTTCCACATTTTGTTACGTTACAGCCTTATTCTAAAATGGATGAAATTGTTTTTTTCGTTTTTTCTCATCAATCTACACACAATACCCCATAATAACAAAGCAGAGACAGGTTTTTGGAGATTTTTGCAAATGAATAAAAAAATGTAAACTGAAATATCACATTTACATAAGTATTCAGATCCTTTACTCAGCACTTTGTTGAAGCACCTTTGGCAGTGATTACAGCCTCCAGTCTTCTTGGGTATGACGCTACAAGCTTGGCACACCTGTATTTGGGAAATGTCTCCCATTCTTCTCTGCAGATCCTCTCAAGCTCTGTCAGGTTGGATGGGGAGCATCGCTGCACAGCTATTTTCAGGTCTCTCCAGAGATGTTCGATCGGGTTCAAGTCCGGGCCACTCAAGGACATTCAGAGACTTGTCCTGAAGCCACTCCTGCGTTGCCTTGGCTGTGTGCTTATGGTTGTTGTCCTGTTGAAAGGTGAACCTTCGCCCAGTCTGAGGTCCTGAGCGCTCTGGAGCAGGTT